ACAGCTTGGTAAACTGGTGATGGAGGGCTGTGTGTATTTGCTAATATTCCAGTTTCTTCTCAATTTTAGACATATTCTGTGTTCTTGCATCCCAGGGCTTAGAGTTCCTCCCTTAGCCTACCCCTTCCCCAGTGTTATGAGATGCAAATAATCTGGACCTAGGGCAGTCTCCTGTTCTTTCCTTAGGAGCTTTTTGTTTTTGTTTAATCAAAGTAAAGGCACAGACACAGTGGGTCTTTATATTTGGGAGGTAACAGAGTTTGCTGTACTTACCCAGCAGTTTAAGGTTTAATTTCTGTAAGAAAGAACTATGGAGGCAGATATTCTTGTCTTTATGGCAAAAGCAGCCACAACCTTCATCCTCCCATATACCAAGAGGGAACCTTTCTTCAGTATACTGACCTGCCTGCAATTTTTCTTGTGAATTCCCAGAACAGATCTCTGAAAATACAGAATGCATGTAGGTGCAAACTTTCTTCTTATCTGTGGTTACCATGGGCTTTATGCTCTGATGACAGCTTACATTTGGTCATTAGCCAATTCTTAGAAATTTTTGCTGAAATGCTTAACCCTTTTATTCCACGTTCTGCTGCCAATGAGTCAGTACTCACTTCCCTTCACTGCTGGGGCACAGATATTTTTCCTTAGATTCCATCTTGGTTGCTGACTCTGTGACCTCAGCTCCCTAATGAGTTCAAAGAACATTTGACTTATATATATGTTCTAATTTTTCTTGTTAGGATGTGAATGCTCTTCTTTTCCAGCTTTCTACATTTTAAATGGAAGCCGAAAGTTTATCAAATAGTGTTTTGAATCTCAGACCATTTTTCAGTCAGATTGATATAACTCCAGCAACCTCAATCTATACAACATTCTGAGTATTTATAATACTCATGTTGCCATTCATCTCAGTAGGGTAGAGCCAGGTCTGCAGTTATCTGTCTCTCTCCCTTGAAGTTGGTAGATAGAAATAGGGATTCTATCTCTACTTCCCCATAAGATCCATCAAAGAATTAATAAGGTAATTGTCAATGACACAAATTTTTGATCTTATTATAGGAACATTTTTAAGAATGCATTTATTTTTCTAATGAGATCTTAATAACCAGATCTTTTGGCTATATGGGTCTTCTCTAATTCCATACAAAGCATAGAATTATTTTTTATAGATCTGCAAAAAGCGATGTTGGTATTTTAATAGGGGTTGCATTGAATCTGTAGGTCACGTTGGGTAGTATAGACATTTTATCTGTGTTGATTCTGCCCATCCATGAGCATAGTGTGGTTTTTCTTCTGTTTACATGCTCTGCTATTTCCTTCCTCAGTGTTTCATAGTTCTCCCTTTAGAGTTTTTTCACCTCTTTTGTTAAATATATTTCTAGGTATTTTATTTTGTTTGTTGCTCTTATGAAAGCTATTGAGTCTTTGATTTGGTTCTCAGTTTGAGTGTGGTTGGTGTATATGAATGCCATTTATTTTTGTACACCTATTTTGTAACCCAAGACTTTGCTGAATTTATTCATCAATTCCGTTAGTCTCATGGCAGAATCTTTGGGGTTTTCTAGATATAAGATTATATCATCAGCAAAGAGCAACAGTTTGACCTCTTCTTCCTCCATTTGGATGCCCTTGATTTCCTTCCCTTGTCTGATCGCACTGGCTAGGACTTCCAGCACTATGTTGAATAGAAGTGGTGATAGAGGGCAAACTTCTCTGGTTCCATTTCTAAGCAGGAATGCTTTCAATTTTTCCTTGTTCAATATGACACTTGCTGTGGGTTTGTTGTATATGGCTCTTATCATTTTGATGTATATTGCATCTATTGCTGATTTGTTAAGCTTTTTTATCATAAAAGGGTGGTGAATTTTGTCAAAAATAAATAAATAGGACCTGATCAAATTAAAAAGCTTCTGCACAGCCAAGGAAGCTATCATTAGAATGAATAGACAATCTATAGAATGAGAGAAAATATTTGCATGCTATCCATCTGATAAAGTTCTGATAACTAGAATCTATATAGAACCAGGAAAATCAGCAAGAAAAAAAAATCAAACAACTCCATTAAAAAGTGGGCAAAGGACATGAACAGAAACTTTTCAAAAGAAGATAGACTAATGGCCAACAAATATATGAAAAAATGCTCAACATCTCTAGTCATCAGGGAAATGCAAATCAAAACCACAATGAGATATCACTTAATTCCAGTGAGAAAGGCTTTTATCAAAAAGTTCCAAAACAACAAATGTTGGCGTGGATGCAGAGAGATAGGAATATTCATATATTGTTGGTGGGACTGCAAACTCGTACAACCTCTATGGAAAACAGTATGGAGACACCTCAAAGAAGTAAAAGTAGAACTACCATTTGATTCAGCAATCCCACTACTCGGTATCTACCCAAAGGAAAAAATATTCCATAAAAAAGACTTCTGTACTAGAATGTTTATAGCAACACAATTCACCATTGCAATGATGTTGAAATAACCCAAGTGTTCATCAATACATGAGTGAATTGATAAAATGTGGTATATGTATACCCTGGAGCACTACTCAGCCAAAAAAAAAAAAATGGTGAGTTAATACCTCTTGTATTATCCTGAGTAAGCTGGGGCTGATTCTTCTAAGTGAAGTATCATAAGAATGTAAAAACAAACACCACATATGCTCACCATTAAATTGGTA